TCCATTGTTGGGGGTGGGGGAGGGTCGTACATATTTCCAATAGGTTGTAAATCTGCTGTTAATTAGACAGCATAGTTTTTATTTGGTATTTCTGAAAATGAATCATCTCCCTTACTTCTCGTAGTAACCCCATCATAAGTTGAGGAAGACCTGTATTTTATTTTAACCACAGTCATATTTCATATCAGCCAAAAACAACTTTAGTAAAAACTGTTTTCAATGTTGATAGGAATCCCTTGGAAAAATTGATTTAAAAAATATCAGCCAGAAAATAAATAAATGCCCAAGATTTAGTCATTTTCTTGGTGACATAATCTTACATTTGCAAATTTTAGATGTTATTGGCAACTAGAATTTTGAACATCACTTAAAAGAGAAATAAACAGACAAATGAGCACTTAAGCTTAGGATAAAATATCCAATTATAGCCTCATAAATAGATTCAAACACTTTAAACTGAAATGAATATCATCAAGTCTAATCTAATCTAGGGTGGATCACTTAAAAATAAAATGTCTCTACTGATAAAGAAGATTGAAAAATTTAAATAAAAACTGTGCCACAAGGTCTTGAGTTGATAGAAAATACTTACATATTAGTATCCATATATGTGATTTGAATTGATAAATGTAACAAAATTAATAAATAAGATATTGTAAGTAGACATTTGACCATTCTATTTATACATCTAAACATTTGTATATTTGAGTTGCCAAAAAACCTTTTTTATTTAACACATCTTCTGATTTGGAAAATGGGAGATTAGTTGATACTCAGGGCTGCCCATGGATTTGGTCCATGAAGGTTGTTGAATTTCAACCTTAAATGCCTTCCTAAGAATGATTTCAAAATGCTCTTTGAACAACACAGGCTGCCTGAGGGGGGCAGGGGCGGGGAGGGATAGGAGGCGTTGAGTAAAGCCAGAGGCATACTGGCCATTGGCCATTGGTTGAGGGCTTGTCTTAAGAAGTACTCAGGCCTTCTGAGTACTCAGGGCAGTTTGAAAGTCACACAGAGATGTGCGCAAGGAGATTTACCTGTAGTTCCGGAGGAATCCCTGGGTAGCCCTTCTCTCCTTTGGGACCATGCTGCCCCCGTTCCCCTCGTGGCCCCAGGTCACCTTTGTCTCCTTTCTCACCTTTGGCCCCTTCATGGCCAGTGGCTCCATTATTGCCATTGTTCCCATGGTTTCCTGAAATTACAAGCAGACATCATCACAAGAGAAAGCCTCCATCACTCACACCCACCTTCTATTTTTATACAAATGCAGACCTTTTCTTCATAAAGGTTCACTCTCAGTTGTAAAAGAAGACCATTTGAAAGCAATCCTGAATGCAGCCAAGGGGTCATCATCAAATCGTATTTCTTCCACATGGGACACTGAAGACAGCCTTCTTAGGTATCAAGTCTCCAAAGCCTGTTTTTCTCATAAAGCAGGAATTGGATGAAGAATTTATGAGGACTGATTATCAAAGTATCATTTATAATAGCAAAGATCAGAAACCACTTAAGTGTCCACCAATACTGGAAGAGCTAAATAAAAAAAAATACATCCAATAAATAAGGCTATATAGTCACAGAAAAAGAATGCTAAAGAAAAATATTTAATAATATTTAATGATATTCAGACACTTTAAGATTAAAAGGTTATGAACCAATAGAGATAGAATGATGTTAGGTATAAATAATATTTATCTATTACATAAAAATATTTCACGTTTTTTTTTCCTGAATGGATGGAACATGACTGGCTTTTGTATCATGCCATGTATCTTTTTTTGTCTCTTTGCATTTTTCTACAAAGGACACATACCACTTTTACAACTGAGGGAATGTAAAATCATTGCTAAAAATTTTAACAATAATTTTGAAAGCAAGACTTGGATAATGATTTCAACTCTTTGCCACTAAGAGACAATTCCTACTAGTCTTCCTTTATTTTATACTTGTTAAATTTTACACACTTTTGCTGATTATTTTCCATGCTACCTTTGGTCAGTTATTATGCCAGGCTTGCAATCCTTCCAGATAAACAAACTTTGGCCATGTTTACAAGTCAAGGACTAACAAAGCCATTCTGATTGGGAAATATTTGGCCAAGGCCAGACTGTTCTGTAAGCTCGGAAGAGTTTAGCCCTCAGAATACTTTAGAGGAGTCTGAATATTCTCTATCCACAATTACTGTACCTGCTGGCTGCTACCATTGACATCCCATGACATAGATTCCAAGACAGTAATCATAGTTTAAAGTCTAACAGAACGTTTTCTCATTTTAGATTTGGTTTCATAAGAGAAGCCACTCAAAAGTACATAAAAAAATTAAACCTCATTTGATAAATGTTAATATCAATGAGGGTAAGTTAGAGGAGAGCAAGCGGACTTCTGTCAAACACTGAGAAAAAGTCCTAGCCCAGGAAGGGGTAGGGGAAGAGGAAAATAATCCTCAGATGGATCTGGGAGCCTAAAGAATCTAGGCTACCCTTTCCTTGGCTGACCCCAGATACTAGCCAGTTCTCAGAAGCTCTGTGCCTGGGGCACACTCAGTAGAGTAGGATGGCTGAATGGAGCCCAACAGCATTTCCCATGCCACTATGTGGTACCAGAGCCCAAAATGTTCCCATGAGCCCAAGAGAGGCATGAAAGTCAACAAAGAACTGAACATGGACAGACTCTGAGGCTCAGGGAAGAAAAACTTAGATGGACATAGAATCAGATAGAAGGATGCGTGGCTCAGCGAATGGTACTGTGGAGATGGCTCTAACCAGACCTACAGGCACGCATCTCCTCCGCACCTTCACTTCGGAAGTTCCCTGAAAGTTAGCGCATGGTTGCATGAAGCACGTTGTGGCAGAAACACTGAAACAAGAGTATGTCCAAATAAGATCGCATAGTTCTGTACTCCATGCTGGTGAAGAACCCCCGCTCCCGATGAATCTGGTGCCCCAGAGCTCTTCACACCTTTGGGATTCTGCAAGCAGGATAAAAAATAAATTCTATGGATTTGATAGTATATTGTTCCACCTAATTGGCTTAATAAATCCAGGGCTCTCCCAAACTCTCTTTTGGATTTCCATGCACGCTGTTCAGACCACACGCAAGTGAACCCAAATTATTTAGATTCACCTTGACTCCTATTTTGGCACAGTGCACAATTAGACTGGCAACAGTGCCCCGTCTTTCTCATCCTTACCTGGAATGCCAGGGGGGCCGGGCGGTCCAGGGGGGCCTTGGTAGCCTCGGAAACTGTACTCTCCGTGGCAACATTTGCTGCAGTCTGGGGGCAGTCCTCCGGTTTGTGGAGACTTTAAAAAGATACAGAGAAAAGTTTCAGAGAATGGCACTTGGGAGTAATTAGGATTTGTGAATTTCCTCTGGTCTCAGCCCTTGGGTAAGTTAAACTCCAAACACCGTACAACAACATCAGAAAAGATGGTGTGGCATGGGAACTCGAATGGCAGGGTAGCTAAAGGGAGCTGATGACTCAAAGGACAAGGAAGCCAGTGGGTCAAAAGAAAGGCATGCTTTCTGGAAGAAGTGTGGTGTTGGCAGGGGGTGGGGCAGGATTTCTGGGAAGACTGTCCTGAGGCTACCAGTGACAGCAAAAGAGGAGACCCCCTTCAGAGTGGATGTGAAGGCACCCCTCTCTTTCCCCGCTGCCAGCACCCTCGCATGTAGCTTGTTTGAGTAGATGACTCTCAAATGATAAGAATTATATTCTCAACTTCAAAGATGGTTATTAAGACTTTCTATATTCATGATACTGGGGTAAGGGTTCTTAGAAATTTTGAATTATAATGCTACCTTTTCAGCCACCGCACACTTAAATTGCCTTAGGAAATTAAGGAAACAAAGCGTTCATTAGTCCAGTAAATTTGTATTCATTATGTACATCTTGAAACAACTTTAACTCCCTCTGAATAGGTGTTCAACTAAGGGGCACCTGGGTGGCTCAGTTGGTTAAGCATCTGACTTAGGTTCAGGTCTGATCTCATGTTTGCTGAGTTCAAGCCCAGCATCAGCTTGCTGCTATCAGCATTTGGATCCTCTGTTCCCTTTTCTCTACCCTCCCCTGCTAGTGCTCTCTCTCTCTCTCTCAAAAAAAAAAAAAGATAATAAGTATTTAACCTCATGTTCTGTTTCATATTTCACTTCAAATTTTTAAATGATTTTCACATCGTTCAAGCCAATATTCAATGAGTACTTAATGGGCACCCAATGTATTCAAATACGACACTGAGTGGACTTGCTTATTTATTTAAAGAAAAATCTCTAGGGGCGCCTAGAGTCGGTTAAGTGTCCGACTTCGGCTCAGGTCATGATCTCCCTGTTTGTGGGCTCGAGCCCCGTGTCAGGCTCTGTGCTGACAGCTGGGAGCCTGGAGCCTGCTGCTGATTCTGTGTCTCCCTCTCTCTCTGCCCCTCCCCTGCCCACGCTGTCTCTCTCTGTCTCTCAAAAATAAATAAATGTAAAAAAGAAAAATTTAAAGAAAAATCTCTAAACTCTATGCTTAAGGTAAAGGAGCTATAGCTCTAGCGGGAGAGTTAGATTTGCTTATAAGATTTAGTGTGTCATTAAATTGGTAACTTGTTTTTTAATTATATCATGCAGAATAGTCGTGGAAACTTTCCTAGACATGAGTCTAGGTCTTTTGAAATGAGTCAATGGTCTTTTGAAAACAGCACATTGTTTCTAAAGGATTCATTAGAAAAGGAAGAGAGGGGGGCGCCTGGGTGGCGCAGTCGGTTAAGCCTCCGACTTCAGCCAGGTCAAGATCTCAGGTCGGTGAGTTCGAGCCCCGCGTCGGGCTCTGGGCTGATGGCTCAGAGCCTGGAGTCTGTTTCCGATTCTGTGCCTCCCTCTCTCTCTGCCCCTCCCCCGTTCATGCTCTGTCTCTCTCTGTCCCAAAAATAAATAAACGTTGAAAAAAAAAATTTAAAAAAATAAAATTAAAAAAAAAAAAAGAAAAGGAAGAGAGGGAGAAAAAGAGGGGGGTGGGGGAAAGGAAGGTTTTAAAATTCACGTTTTCTCTATCACTAGAAATCCAAGCAGAAAAGTGAGTCAAGGCTTTGCATTGCTGCACATTTGACTTTGCTTTTTTTCTTTTCTTTCTTTTTCTTTTTTTTTTTTTTAAATCAAAAATGGTCTTGGACTCTTTCCTCACTCCCTCATTCCTTTTTCCTAAAGCCTTCCACCAAGTCATTCAGGGAAAATGCAAAACAGCCAGCCCACGCATTCTCTTGCATCAGCTCAGAGCTCCAGTCTCAAGTGATCAGGGACCACAATTTGAAGCTAACCCCTGTCTCGTCTTCTGCCCCCCAGACTCCACACTGGCCAGATATGGGAGTCTGTAAAAACCTTTTGTAAAACTGGTGAAGGAAACAAAAATCAGCTAAAGGAAGTGGTCGGAGCCGGGCAAGTTCAGACGCTTGGAAATCCAGACACCACAGCACCGCCCCACCTTCCAATCCAAGGATGCAATGTGAGAAGTAAGTATTCCATAATTTCCTGGTATGATTTTGCTAATGTGAAATACAGCTTTTTAAGTTCCAAGAAATCTAAGGCTCTGCCAATAATGGGCTTTGGGGAAGAAGAAGGGAGGGGAAAGGAGGGAAAATCCTGACATGGACCCATTAAAGAACAGAATTGAGTCACTGAGATGTTAGGAATGTTAGGAAGATGGCTCTACTGGAACCAGAACTCCCATCTCAGTTCTGTGTGGCTTTAGTGATGTCACTGCCCGCCCTCCCACCCCCCTCCCGCCAGGCATCGTTTTTCTTGTCTACTAAATTAGGGCACTGGGTAACATGGTCATGAAGTTTCTTTCCAGCTCTAAGAGCAAGCAAAGATACTAAGGTCTTTTCCAAACCCTCCAATAATGGCTTAGAAAGATTTTATTCTTTTTTTTAATTAATTTTTGTAAATGTTTATTTATTTTTGAGAGAGAGAGAGACACACACACAGTGTGAGTGGGAAAGGGAAGGGGCAGAGAGAGAGAGAGAGACACACAGAATCCGAAGCAGGCTCCAGGCTCTGAGCTGTTTTTGGCACAGAGCCCAACACGGGGCTTGAACCCATGAACTGTGAAATCATGACCTGAACTGAAGTCGGATGCTAAACCGACTGAGCCACCCAGGTGCTCCAGAAAGATTTTATTCTTAAAGATGAGTGTCTGGGTGTGAGAAGTTAGCTCCAGGAGTTAGGACTGCTCAGTATCAGAGCTCACTAGGACTGGGGTGTGTGCCCAAGCTACTTGGGAGTGCCTTGAGAGCAGAGAGCTGCCACCCCAACAGGGAGGGTCTTCCGGTTTCTACTAGCTGGGCATCTCCTGAGAGTCCTTCACAACATGTTCCTCTGGCCTGGTCTTTCAAAATTCAATCCAATGGAATAGTGCTTGTGAGCCTTTGAGGGACTCTTCGACCAAGCTGGATGGGATGTGTTCACTCAGAGGTTATCACCTAGGTAAGGGAGAATTACATACTGGGGAGTCACTACATATCTCCCTCTTACCATCTCTCCTAGGCAGGTCCAACTGGAAAGCCAAAGACACAAAACTGAGCACCATGGGAGGAGGTAGGTGTCTCTAAGACAAGTTCTGTACGTTTTATAGATGAAGGTGATGGGGCAGCTACTCAGATTTGAGCTCTGCTCTTAGTGAGTGACTTCTCAGAAAGAAAGCCCACAGCTCCTTCTTTACTGGAAGAAAGAGGGAAGAGAAAGGAAGAGGGAGGTGGAAAGAAGGGGAGAAAGCATCCATGAGAAGGAGGGGAGATTGATAAAGGTGACTGACTAAGAACTGCAGAGAAGAAACTGCCAGGAAAAGAAAGACCAAGTCTACTCTCCCCTGATCTCTGCACACTCTACCCACCACAAAGCCCATGGCCAGAGTCCTCTTTCTAGAACACACACCAGATCACCTCACTGCCCTGCTGTGAACAAACACAACTTTCGATGGCAAACTAAGGTCTGAGCTCCTTAACCGGCCAACAGAATCTTCCGGGCTGGCACTAAGATCATCCCGCTTTCCGCCCACAGCTCAGGAGCTCCAGCCACACTCATTCCTCCCAGGCTTTGCTGTCTCACATATTTTTAAATTGTATTTCTTGTATGGGTAACCATCCTTTTTGTCTCACCTTTGAGATCCAACTCAGCGGCCACCACCACTCGGACACTTTCTCCCCAAATGCCTTATTTGCAGAGATTTTGTTTATCATATGGTATTCAATTATCTGTTCATTTATCCCTCAGAGAGCCCTGCAGAACTGTCTGGACATAGGCTTGGACATATTTATTCCCATCGTAAAGCTTGGCGCATAGTAGGGGCCCAGGAAGTCATTGGTGGGAGAATGAATGAAGAAAAAGAAAAAAGAAAAGAGGTAGGGGACATAGGGAAGAAGGGGAACACAGTAAAACCTGAAATGCAGTGTGAGTCTCCATACCCATTGGCAGGCACGTCATTATCGAGGATCTCCAGAATATCAGTGAGTCTAAATCTCTTCAGTATCTCCTATTAGGTTGTCTGTCTGTCTGTCTGTCGGTTGGTTTTGAAGATACGTCTGGAGCCCAGGAGGGTTCAAAAGCCCCTCTGACTTAAAAAAAAAAAAGCCAGGAAGTGACTTTTTATCCTCTTACATCTGACTCCAGCATGCTGGCTGCCTCCCACCAGAAGGTAGGGCAAAGTAGAAATGTAATTTGGATTCCAGTGGCCTTCTGGGTGTTGGTTGCCAAGAAATAACAACAAACGATAGCCTACATCTGCCTTCTGCTGCGTCTGGGGGCTCACACAGCGAAGGCCAGGAAGGGCCCAGCAAAGATCCCATCCACTGAAATGGAAAGGCCAGGTCAAGGCTTGGACAAAAATGAAAATATCTTCACCACAAAGGAAATACAAAGTAGCATTAGTCACCCCCTGGCCAAAAGATTGTCAGATGGGGCAGGGCCTGGGTGGCTCAATAAGTAGAGTGTGTGACTCTTGATCTTGGGGTTGTGAGTTCGAGCCCCACATTGGATGCAGGTTACTTAAAAAAAAGAAAAAGGATCGTCAAATGAAAGGATAATCTCTAAAAGTGGCCTTTGAAAATAAGATTGTATTTGGAAGTTATTTCTTTTGTGACTCCTTACAGAAACAATTTTTTTCTTGACACAGCCTCATGGAACAGTCTGGGATTCTGCATTGTGCTGTTGAGTTAGAAGTCCCAAGTTAGGGGCACCTGGGTGGCTCAGTGGAGCGTCCGACTTGGGCTTGGGTCTTGATCTCACAGTTTGTGAGTTCGAGCCCCATATTGAGCTCTGTGTAGACAGTTTGGAGCCTGGAGCCTGCTTCGGATTCTGTGTCTCCCTCTCTCTCTGCCCCTCCCCTGCTCACACACTCTCTCTGTCAAAAATAATAAATAAACGTTAAAAAAAAAAATTCACCCCTATTTAAAAAAAAAAAAAAAGAAGAAGAAGAAGAAGAAGTCCCAAGTTAGCCCCAGATCTATAGCTGATCATGTGTGGAATTTCAGGCTGAAATTCATATCTCCAGCCTCAACCCAGACTTTTCAGTCTGTGATAGGACGGGTTTAGATTTCAACTGCATGAACCTTTTCAGGGACTATTTAATGCAAAGACACAGTCAATTGTTGTTGTAAGACCTCTTTGTTCAAAGTTCCTATCATTTGAAGTAACTCTTATTGTCCCCCTCATCTGATTTCAACATACTAGATGTGGAGAAGGTAAGTCAATATCCATTTTGTCCAGTTCTTAATGTTTTAATTAAATGGAGTTTCACCAATTGACAATTCACTACACTGAAACCTTACCTCACTCCTGTACTACCCCCAAAAGAGTTAAAGATGTTTCCTTGGATGCCGAGTTTACACCCAGGGAAATAAATCAAGTTCTTTGTGATTATCAGGCATTAAATCACACAAAGAAGTTTGGCTTTTTTGGACACATGTAGTCTTTTTTGTTCTAACTCTTTGGTTCACAGGCTGAACAGAGAGGCTTAGCAACCCAGACTGCCATAAATCAAATAAACAGGCCTGGCATGAAATGTCACAGTCAACTAACACATCAAAGTGGAAAACTCAAAGGGCAGCCTCTCCCTGCTGGGAAGGATTAAGAAAATCCAACTCTCTTGGGATCTGCAAAAGATCCGTCTATCTGCATAGGTCAGCACTACTTTGCACACTAAGAGAGCAGGAAAGAAACTAAGTCACAGCACAGCAGGGAGCCCGCCGCTCCGTTCTCCTTTGTCCTGGGGGACACTCTGTCTCCTCACGTCCTCTGCTGATTTTCTAACAGAGACCACAGTCCCCCTGGTCCCCCAGAGCAACCCAGAAAGACACCCACAAGCAGTCTAGCAAACTTCTAGAAAGCACTGATCCTAAGAATCATAGCTGAAACAAGAACAGCCAAACTCATTAAGCTTTCACAGTAACCCCTTAGAAGAGAATTCCGAGTACCTGGCCCCAGAATGGGGTGATCTGGGCTAGGTCATCTACCTCAGGGTGCGGTAGCTCATCCGGTCTCAGGGATTTTAGGTCTGCAGAAGTGTTATTATCCACAGTCCCAGTATTAGGATGGCTCCGCTCTCTCACTTTCTCCCTCCGGGAGCCGCTACGGCCAGTCTGCTGGTGGCTTTGCACTATTCTCGCCACCACTTTCTTAGCTCTTCCGCTCACCTCCATGTATTCATCTTGACAGAGGCAAAACGGGAGGAAAAGCAAAGCCAGCAGGTGCCAACAGACGAGCTGCCTCCCGCGCATGATTGTCAACAGAGCCCCAGAGCCTCCCGGAGAAGACGGGCGAGGCTCCTCAGGCAGATGCCAGGGCTGGAGATGAGAGCTGCAGGCGGCTGGGCGCTTTTATACTTCGGTGTGTAATAAATAAGGCTGCAGGCATGCCAGAGGGGAAGCAGCCCTCCTCCCCAGGCAGGACAGCCCCCATTCATCCTTTCCCACCCCACAGGCCGGCGGATTTGTGTGCACAGCTCCCTGTTGGTGGGGTTCATAAATGCCACACCTTGGCACATTTTTGTTAACGTGTGAAGAAAACACACACGACCAGCTGGAAACAGAGAACGTGTGTCCAGAGCTTTGCTTTTGTGATTAGACGTGCGTCTTCGCGGTCAGAGATGCCTTTTGGAAAAACCTGTCCTCAGGCTTGCCAGGAAATGCGGGCTTAACTGGATCAATTCTGTCAGAAATGGCAGGGGGCATGGGGCTGGTTCAGGGCAATCAAGAGGGCTCTGGCACTCTCCTCGTACAGTGACTGCTTCCCCACTGTGCTCCACTTAAAGGAACTCATTTCTCCTTTCAGACACCAGCAGCAGAAGGCAGTTGGGTGACTCCAGAACACTGAGCTGGCTTCAGGTTCAGAGCGTCTGGATTTAGCAAAAGCATTTCCCAGTCCCAGGTTATATTTCCTTTTCCCTTGTGTTTCCAAAAGCCGAGGTTAAATTAAAGTCAGTTATTGCCAGATAAAGATACAACATCCTGTTTTGTATTAAAAGAAGACTGTTTGGCTCAGGCTACTCATCTTTCTGACATATTCTTGATTAAAAGCGAAGAAATGGAAAGTGCCAAAGCAAACATTACCTCAAATAGATCGGAATGGAGAGAATTATCATTTTATTTGCTACACTTTTATTAATGTGGCCAAAGAGCAAATGGATAGTCCTGACTTTTATGATCATAAATTAAGGGAATTTATGTAGCTTTGTCATTAAAATTGCTTCTATTTACATATCATTTCATTTAGTATTACTGATTCCCTCACAGAACAAAAAGTCACTCCCCTTCCCTCAGGAGAATTGCAGAGACCCTGGGACTTAAAGGGACCATGAGAGGCAAGTGTCCGATGCTAAGGGGACAAGTGTGGCACTGTAAGAAAGCCAAGCCTTGGACAAGCCAGGCCTGATGATGAAGTGATATCGAGCAGCTGGAGAGAGAAGAGAGGCAGGAGAGCCACCCACAGCTGCCTTCCTTACTCAGCAAAGGGACCTGAAAAACAAAAGCCACTGAGGCTGGTTGTATCACTTCTTTGGGACAGCTGTCCCTAGAGCCCACATCTATACTTTGGAGGAATCTGGTCCTGGGAACAGTGTGGGAAGTGAGAGAATTTTTCTGTAGAATAGAAGCTCTCCAGTTCACGAGTGTGGGGGCCTTGTGAGTCATGCTTATTCAAAGCGAGCAGTTCCCACCTAGTGGAGTATGAGAGGCTTTGCCATCCCCATCCCGTAGGTCTACCAGTCCAAAATCTCCTCACTGGAGAATTCTTTGAGATCTGTGATGAGCACGCCTAGGTAAGTCTCCCTAGGGAGGATAGCACATCAATCCTGTTATCTGGCATTAACTCTGACAGAGGATGTCTTTACCAGACCCGGAGCTGCAGACCGGGGAAGTTAACACCTGGGTCTTGTGGTCAGGCAGGCGGATGGAATGTCACTGTGAGGAAAAGGTCCAGGGGAGTGTCTCAGTGGGGATGCTCCCTCATCAGAGAGGCCTGGAAATGATTTTACAGGAAGACCATGAAGCAAGAAATGGCTCTGCGATCCAGGTCACCTAACTCCCAAGTTTTCTGAGAGCTGTCCTTGGCAGCTCCCACCACCTGGACCACCTAGCGAAGTCGCTACAAGCCAACATCTTCTGACTTTCAACTGCATTGAGGCTTTCCGTTGGTGTTTTCAATGCTTTCAACTATTCTAGTGGTTCTCACTCCCAGCTGCCTGTTAAACCAGGAAGCTTCTAAAGATATCAGTGCCTGGATCCCATCCCAGACCAATGGAGTCAGACTCTGTAGTGGGGCCAGGGCACCAATAGTTTTGAAAAAGTTCCCCGAGATAATTCTACTATGCAGCCAGGGTTAGGGAATCACTGATGCATCCTCTCCTTGACTCAACAGGAATAAATAACAACATCTATAATTTGTTGAGCATTTACCGTGTGCCAGCCAAATACTTGTTTGCTTTAGGTCACTGACTTTTCTTAGCAAACCTATTATTACCATCTTTTAGATGAGGAAACGGGGGTGGGGGGGTGCTCAGAGAGGTAAAGTGACTTGCCTGACGTTACACAATTGGAAAGAGGTCATTAGGAGATGTATCCATCTATCCTCCGGCTTTCCTACAGCAAAGCAGAAGACCAGTGACAGGCTGGCTGCAGAGAGAAGGCCAGGTTCATCACAACCAGAAGGCTCACACACAAGAATCAGGTCAGAGGGCTATGAGTGGAATTATATATCACCCAAAGAGATGTTGGAGTCCTAACCTCCATACTCCTGAGATGACTTTATTTGCAAACAGTCTTTGTCTATGATCAAGTTAAGATGAGGTCACTGGGTTGGGCCCTAACCAGATCTGACTGTCTTCTTATAGAGGAAAAATTTGGACACAGAGATAGACACGCACACAGGAAGAGTGTCGTGTGAAGATGAAGGTAGGGATGGGGGTGATGCATTTACAAGTCAGGGAAAACCAAAAATCACCAGCAAACCACCAGAAGCTGGGAGAAAGACATGAAGCAGATTGCC